CTATTTTTTTTTTTTAGTAATCTTTTTCCTGGGTTTGAAATGATCCATCTGCTATAGCTTTGATTTCTATTGCTTTGTTATTTGTCTGAAAAAAAAAAATACAATTTTTGCATTTTTATGTACCTCTTGGCTCACAGGAATGAAATTCAGTATGACCCACAAGAAAGAAAATATATAGTTAGGTTTTCCTCTGACAAATCTTTACTGTAATACGATTTGGTTCCTTAGGGACTGAGTGAATGTTTCTTCTTGTGCTAGGCTTACCTTTAATGAAGTTTGGGTTCTTATTATAAACTACTATCCTTACATGTGCTGTTAATGGATTGTTTTGAATGATACTGGAGGGAAGAGAGAAAGGTGGGTCCTAATATTACTTTTTTTCCCTAGGTACACCTAAATATTTCTAAATTTATAGAAATTAAAGCATTGGCAATTTTAGGTTTTGAATGATTTTACATTCACAGAATCTTCAGGATTAAAAAGATGCTAACTAAAAATGCTGCGATAAGAGAACTATATTGTTATACACTCAAAAATTACAATATGGTAACATTAAGGATTTGTGCCTAACCTTAAATGTGTTGCCTTTGTATTTTCATGATTCATAGATTCTACTAATAAACTGTGTTTAGTACTGCTATAATATCTTACAAGTCCATATCTGGCAGCATAAAACCCACATCTAAACTAGAAAACATTCACTCTATTCTGGTTTTGTTGGGGTTTTATTGTTGTTGGGGTTTTGTTTGGGTTTTTTTTTGCGGGGATATGTTTTTTTTGTTTGTTTGTTTTTTTTAACATGACATTTTCCTGTTTCATCTTGAATTGTTAAGAATCTTTAAAATCCTAGGGAAAATCCTGAGAGTGACAGTGGTGCCCTTCTCTGACAACGCTGGTTATCTGGAAGTGAGGACATCCCCTGGTTCTTACCTCTCAGCTGTTGATCAATGCATACATCATGGACTTAAAAAATCTCAGACTAAGTGTTATTGCAATCAGCTGTGTACTTCAGGATAAAAAAAAAAGGTGTTGTTAGAGAAATACTGAGGAATGATCTTTCAGAATTGTCAGCGTTGTATGTGGTACCTGTCATTACAACTGCAGCATTTGCGAAGGTGGGTCACAAAAGGTCCAACATAATCATGCACTTGGAAATGATGATACCTGTGATAAAGGGCTGGTAATAGATTCCATATAATAAAATTTACTTCATCTTCATTTTTCTTATGTTATCAAAGAATCCATAGAGTTATGTTGTGATAAAGCTTGCTCTTTGTGTGTGATAAAGCTTGGGCTTTGTGTGTTCAGAGGTGACAGATGTTAAAGTCATTATCATTATTTTGGGCCAGACCTTCTGGTTATATTTTCTGTCTCTTGTATAGTTCAAGGGGCAGTTATGGAGTGAAAAATTTCTTTAAGTCACTTCTGTACCATTTTGTTCCAGGGAAAGATGCTGTGTTTAAATTATATTTTAACCCTGTCTTCCAGCACAGGGTCATGGGCTTGCTTCCTTTTCTGTGGCCACATGTGTTAGCTGCCAGGAATCCCTTGGAAAGCACTTAAATCCACCTGCTTAGAGCAGCTTTACTTAACCACAGAATGTCTACCCATATTCGCTGTAAGATCTCACTATGCAGTGAGAACAAGCTAAGCTATAAAATAAATAAACCTGGCTTGATCTTTTACACAGACTGTATCTAACTCCTTTTTTTACTGAGCACAGATCAGAAGGAAGTCACTTAAAATCAGTGAAAACAAGACTCCCAAGTGAAATGAAATAGAATTGGGATACATCCTGCACAGTACAAAATACACTTTTTACAATGCATCCTTGGGGGAATGCAGTAAATATGTTAAATTTAATGTGGAGCGTTGTTTTTTTTAATGAGCTGAGAGCATGATCTGCTGGATTTTTTTGTCTCTGATCATTTAAGACTGTATTGTATCTGAACTTCCACTTTCAACAATATCAACTATTATTACTTCAGGGGTATGAGAGCCAAAGAACAATTTTTATCATAAGGTTGTTTTAAATAAATATTTATTTTGATGTAGTTGTTTTCTTTTGGCTGACTAATCTCACCAACTGTTTAGTATGTTCTCAGATGATAAACCAGTTGATGCCATATAGTTAACAAGGGGGATGCTGAGGTCTGGGACAGGGCGCATTCAGTGACTGCTAAAGATTTTATTGCTGGGGAGGGAGAAATCATTATTCATGAGAGAAAATCAGGGTCTTAATTCATGGGTGGCACATGCAGTGAAAATCTGGCAAGTTTACAGGGGCATACTTGCTACATCCCTCATGCTCAGAGCTGGCATATTTATAGCATGTGGTGCCAAAAGCAAGAGGAGTAACAGGCCTAACGGTTTGGCAATCCAGCATGGGATGTCCATGCAGCATTGATGAGCAGAAATGAAAGATAATGAAAAGTGATCTTATTATAGTGAGTTTATTTGGTAGACTTTCTCCCTCTCTACCTTTCTCCAACGCATTTCAGACTGTCCTTCAACCTTGTCTTAATCTCTCATTTCTCCCAGTCCTGAGTGTCTCGCATCTGTTCTTTCTTCCATTATGAATAATCAGTCTGTCAAATGGATAATCTGCTGTAGACAGATCATAATCTCTCAATGAAGTGGGAAACTGAGATGTGTGAGAGCAGCCTATTGTCCAGAATACCCTCTGGTCAAAATGTGAAAGAGTCTAACAACTGCTGAAATATACTTTGTTGCATTTGCTGTTACACTCCTTCTTGCATGCATTTTCTTGGCTAGTCCCTAGCTTCCAAGGAACTTCCTGTATGGATTTGAGCTGTGGGGATATATACGCAGCCTCCTTCCATGGAGAAGCATCTCCATGCTTCTCCATGGAGAAGCCAAAGCATCTCCAATCACTCTCCAAACAATGTGGTGGGAGCAGGCTTTCTGAAGGGTAAGTCAACTGTGTCAAAGTAGAATGACTCAGCCATAGTTTTAACCACTAAGGATTGTGTAGCAACATTCTTTTCAGACAAGAAAAATGGTAGAGAGTAAATCAGATGAGTTTTTAAACCACATGGCAGAATGAAAGTGGTGGTTATGATACAAGCTGTTTCATCATCCTAGCAATTTTCCAGTGGTCTCAACTATAATTTTAGTAAATCCAGCTGTGGTGTTCAGTAAAAAAAAAGAGGTTTGGGGTTGGTTTGGGGTTTTTGGTTTGGCTTTTTTAGTTTTTGACTGAGTTTTCACATACTGTAAAAGGTCAGGGATGAATGGGAAAGGTTGATTCATTTCTCTCAGAGCTCTACCTGCCTCTTTAAAAGCTATATTTTGTTGCTACTTTGGCCTGAAGTTGGCAATTTATCTGTAACAATCTGTGTCTTGTGGTCTAAATCAGCCTTATTTCAACATACAGAGGCAGGATTGGCATCTTTGAACTAGAGACATAAAAAGTAGCAAGGTTGTTCTTTTATAATCCCAAAACATAGCTCTTACAAGTCTTCTAATTGTGGTGAACATAATGGCCATCCTCCCTTCAAAGTACTCTTTTAGGGAGCACATCTTTTTATTTCTGGCTGGGAAATGAGAGGGGTGGCCTGGCAGGGAGCAGCATTGCTGGAACTCACCCATCCTTGCCAGCAGTGGCTCCCAGATATTTGTAAGATCATTTGTGAAGCCATGATAGTCTAAGAGTATAAAGGAGGCAAGATCTGTAGACAGAGTTAATAGTTTTTATTAGACTGATATTCTTGGATAAAAGACAAGCTTTCAGGCACTCAGCCTGTCTTCATGTCTGAAATTGTGTTCTGCACAGCTTGCCATGGGCTGATGAGCTCGGTGCCTGCAAGATACTCTGTTTTTTCCCAGTGTTTTTTCTGTTCTTTTAATCAAGGTTATTACTTCTTCCTAAAATGCTCACTTGACTATCAGAAAATTGTGAACCTTCAGCAGGTGTCAGGAGATAAACTAGTCTGGATTACTTCATCACAAACATAGGTGGAACAAGTCATGTAAGTTCAGTAAGGTGGGCCATAACAAAATGGATGTGTATGCGTGTTTGTATTGCTATCCACCTGAGTACGTCCAGGATTTATTTCTCACTGTATGCTCTGCCTATGGCAATGGCCCTCCAGGGTGACAGAAATGGAAAGTCAACAAACGAGGTCATTAGGCAATATGGACCTAGAGAGGTTTGCTAACATAATCCTTAGCTGCCTGAATACTTTTTATGCATTCTTTCCCCTAGTTTTACACTGGACATAGTTTTACAGTAGGTCCCTTACTCAATAACTTGTGCGATTATACTGTAGCTGAACAATTATGAAGTGTTACATGAATAATGACTTGAGCATCCTTCTCTTAAAGCTCCTAATAGTTTAATCAACACCTATTAGAAACAACAATATAGATATTGCCATGATTTCTTAACTTCTGCATACGAATACATGAATATCAAATCCATAGTATACTTGACAAGTGCAGATGACATTATTTTTGTTACCTGTTCTTATGCTAAACTTTTTTCCCACATGATGTTTTTTCTGACCAACAAAATATAATGAAATTAACTTGAATTGCTAATATCTCTAATTTGGCTTTGCAGCAAACTTGTATTGGCAATCACCAATATGGTATGGTCAGCCTACTTCAGCCACTCCTCACTCTGGTATATAACCCTTGCAAGGTGAGAATGAAGTTTCTTGGAAGGTATTAGTTTCCTGGGTTCTTGTTTGTGCTTGTTAAAAGGCCTCACACTAATTATCAAATGAGTCATGCAATCCTGTTGAATTATAGTATATGCACCTGTAAAATGTTCTGCCAGATAAAACAGATTCTGTCAAGCATAACTAAATGTATCAATGTCAGTCAGCTTTGTCTGTGATAGAGTGGAAATCTTTACAGCATGTACAACATTTATTTAAGTGCATCCACAGCTTGTCACTAAATTAACCACACCCAGGCATAATAAAAGTGCCAGTCTCAGCACCTGTCTCTCCCTTGAAACTTGGAGCTGGTCTTACTAAGGGTAATGAGGTTCAGCTGTTCTGGCAGTGTTACCTTCACCCAGTCACGTGCTCAGAAGCTTTGTGAGTGCATGTGGTTGCTTTTGGCTTAGTGTGAGAGTGCAGCCCATGTGGATGCCTTGGAGGTGAGGAGGTCTGTGAAAGGACCCTAGAAAAGGGTTGCAGAAGTGCTTCTTTCTAATGTGGTAAATTAAAAATTTCCTTCTGCTTTGCTAAGACAGCTTCTTTTCCCTTTTAGGCAAAGCAGCAGAAGTGGACTGAGAACCAGCTTGTTTTTTCCAGAGTAAGAGGGACTTGCCACAGAGTACCTGCAACACTGAGAGTGGAGGTAAGTCAGAGATCCTTTAAAGTGGTTTATTTCAGACACTCAAGATTGCTATCTAGAAAGCCAGTGTTATGTATAAATGTACTTTGGACTTAGTGTTCACTGGGGGACATATGCTATCATCCTCTTGATGTCTTTCTGTTAGAATATCAGTAATACATGAAGCCTTGTAGGGAAAGAGGTTTTATCCTTGTTGCCTGCAGTTCTCAGAAGTGCCCAGACTATTTTTATTTTTTCTTTATGGTTGTTTCTGCTTTACTTGGTTTAAGTCATTTGGTACTTGGTTCTGGATGCTAAGGACTCTGAAGCCGTATGTTTTCAGTTGTGTCCATTTAACAATACATATCACAAATTTAACAGAAGATTCAGAAAATGCCTGTGTTTGGGAGAAGTGGGGTTAAGTAGTGGTAAAAAAGCCCTTGTTTTATTGAATATTCTCACTGTCTTTCAAAAATAAGATCATCTCTAAAGCCTTAAGCTTATGTGTTATTAACAGTAATAAGACCTGAAAAGTAAAATCTATAATTGAACCAGGCTCATCTGGGGCAATGTTTGAAGGATGGTGTGCTAGTGAGGTCTTTCAGTCTGCCACCTTAGTGAAAGTAGGGGAACGAAGATCTGTGTAGCAGCAAAGATGTGAGGGTTATTGATGTGTTTAAAAATTCTAGAAGCACCTGAGAATAGCCTCATAAGAATTAGGGCTTCTCCCTCAGAAAATGTGGCAGGATCAATAGCTGATGAGTGCAGTCCACTTCCAGTCACAAGAACAAGATTGTACTTACATGTTTGGCCCTTTTATTTTAAAACGTGTATGGAGATTGCCAAATATTGGGGTTGACATGAACACATTCCTTTTTTTAGTGGCTGAATGAAGAATAGGAAATGTGAACGTTAAGCCAAGCTTGGAACTACAGCAGAGAAATGAACCATATAACAAAGATAATACAAATGAGATCTCTAAGTCATTGGCTGATAAACACAGCTCCTAGTGCTATGCTGACCTCCACATTAACTTTCTGCTTATGTTTCTTTACCTGTAACAGAGAGGGCCAGAACAGAGGAAGAAGACTAAGTCTCTTTTGTACCAATCCATTACAGTTTCACCTGTATATCTAATGGGCTGCCAATAGCACTGTTGAAATGGTATTTCAGAAAGGCAGAGGCACCTGCTAGAGCAAGGCTTTGACCTGTGTATTTTCCAGTCCCCTGTACACAAGGATAATCTTTAAGAGACAGCCAAATTTTGATGAGTTGTGCAATGCATTAAATATGAAGAAAAGCTTTGCCAACTCTGATGCCTGAGGCATGGGTTACATTAAACATATCATCTTCACAATGTGTTTAACTTCTACTTGTTAATGCTAATAATTAAGTCACCCCAATTTTTAGTACGAGCCTTGAGCTTAGTTTACCTGGATTGTGATCTAGTATTGTTTCAGTCTTGGAACTGAAATGCCCTAGCCCCATTAGCTCTGGTATTTGTCTTATCACTAAAAGAAGCAACCATCCTGGGTGGCCATGAATCTGGATTTTGATACTATTTTAAGCCCATAAAGTAGAAAATAAGAAAACATCACTCAATGCATATTAGGAGTTTGGATAGCCAAAGCATGAAGAAAAAATATGTTGCATCTCTGTCAATACAAATTTGATTTGTCCTCAGAGATTCTTTAGTTCTCTTTGTTTGGTTTTTTTTTCGAATGAAATACAGTCACCTTGGATCCTGAAGTTGAAGTTACAAAATATAAAGAAGAGCCTGGTGTCAAACAGTTGTTAATCAGACAGCAGGAAACTTTTGTAAACTTTGAGTTGAATTTTTCTCTCTGCTTGTGTGAGACACTTCCTGTGTCCATGAGGGACAAGTACAACTAACTTTTCAGCTGAGCATCATACTCTTTAGCAGGTATAGTAGTTGGCTTGGCCTATGTAAAGAGCTGGTACACAGCCCAGACGAAGCTTTCTGCACATTCAGTCCTCTCCATAAAAAAATGATAGCTAATTCAGCTGGCATAAATAGACACACATGTATGTGTGTACATAAATAAGTGCATGTATATGTATGTGCACTGCACAATCAGTTAAAGAGAAATCATTAAGCTACCCAACAGAACCAGAGGGAAGAAAAAAATGGAAAGTAGGGTACCCAAATCTGTGGGGAGTTCAGAAGTGACTGCTTGCTTCAGTTTCCTGGGAGACATCTTGACAAAGAAACAGAAAAAATCCTGGCTCAAGTTGAGGAATGGATTAGTGGGTGCTGTTTGGAGTGCTTTTTCCCACACATAAACTTTCAGAAGTTTGGGGCTTATTTAACTGTCCAACACTTCTGAATAACATCAAGTAGAACTAATTACTTGTTTATATTTACTCATTTTCTAACAATACAGGCTTCACTGGGAAACAGCTTCTTTCCTCTCAAAACTGACTGTGGGTGAAAATGTCAGAAGTTTGTGGTTTTGTTGTTAGGGGGATTTTTTTAGGGTTCTGGGAACTGAAATGCAGCCTAAAGCTAAAAATGACACACCCATATATGAAGTTTAGATAAAATCAGGCATTCTAAAAATACTTGAAGTTGGTCTTACTTCTGGTAAGGTTAGTTACAAACAATCCTTGTATTTGATAACAAACTGAATCCTGTCTTCAGTTGTGTCCAGTATTAGACTTGGTGTCAGTATCATATAATCCTTATATAGTAAAAGTGCAATAAACTTCTCTGTACTGAGTTGTGAAACAAATGAAAACAATTATATTGATACTGAAAAAAATAAGGCTTCACCATAGATGAAGGCAGTAGGCTAAGCAGTAGCTATTAATGCTGGATGATTTCAAATCCAGGATCAGGTGTTTTTCTTCCTATCAGTGGGAATTACATACCAAGATATCTATACACATCTTTAATTGCTTCTCTGTTTTTAATTGCTGTTCTAAAGCTATTCTACTGAAATAATTTGTCCTAGTTTTATGAGAACACAAGGTTGTGATGTTTTGTTCACTAAGCATGAGTGTGTGTAGTAAGTAACAGTTGTCTTAGTGGCATAGAATTGATGTGGCCCCTTTGGGTGTGAAATTTCAGAAAGAATATATTAAAAATAAGTGCAGAGAATTACAAAATTAGTTAGAGTATAAGGGCATGCTGTGTGTTCAAAGGTGTCTACTTGGTCTGTTAACTTCTTCAAGTGAAGGTTAAGATGTGACTTGTAGTCAAGTGTCTTTGTAGGGAAAAGTAACAGATACCTTTTCCAGCTGAATGTAAAAACTATAAAGAAATTCAATGGCAAAAAGCGATGCTATGTAAATTCACAGTAGAGATAAGGCAGTCTCTTATCGGTAAGGGTTATTCATCACTGGAACAACTTACTAGACATGTAATGGTTTAACCTCCACTTAGAGTATTTAAGGTACGACTGAAGATCTTTCTAAAAGAGATGCTATAACTCCAACACAAATTATGGTCTTGAAGCATAAATTATTAGGTGAGCTTCACTGGCCTGTTATGCAGGACGTCAGACTATACTATCATAATGGTCCCTTTTGGCCTTACTGCCTATGACTAAGTAGCTCCCTGCAGGATTATGTGGAGGTATAAATCTGTCTTGGATGAATATCCCTATTGAGCTTGATGAATTGTGTATATACGCTTTATGGATCAGGCTAACAAAATAGCATCCATGAGCACTTGCCCAGCACTGTGTGTAGAAAAAAAGGAGACTTGTGGATTTTTCTAAAGGCCTCCTGTAGTCAATCACAACTCCTTAGAAAGGCAATGGTTGGTAAATATCTGCTATTATCAGCCTAGTTGCTAAATTCACTGAGCTATCTAGTGAAATCCTATTGAGGCAGCTGGCATGTTTACAGCTGTCTACTAAACTACTGAGAGATGATGGAATATGAAAGACAACTTATGATATCAGTAAAAATGCCAGATGTTATATGTTGGCAAATGTAATGAATTAACTGACATTGGTTACAATTGGCTCTTAGTGTAAGAGACCAGATTTGCAGATATTTTAATAATGGGTAATGCATAAATACCCTGGGCTAATGCATAAATCAACTGGGCTATTCTTATTGTCTAGTAACTTCCAGGAGCCTTGTTTCCTATGCTATCTAAATAACTAAAAGACCAGATCTTACATAAGCTTCTACAGATTTACATCCCTGTGCTGTATGCTTAACAGCCTATCTCTTCAGAGTCCCTACACTTGTACACAAAAATTTCCAGTACAAGTGGTGATACTTCTGAAATCAGAGCTCAGTTGCATCTGTATTTCAATGTAAATAAGGAGTACAAGGAATACTGCCTCTTGATGCATGATAGATTTCACCAGCTGAAGTCACAGAGGTTTCTTAAGTGAAAGAAGTGTTGGCTTTGACTGTGACTACTTTATTTGAAAAGGATCTCAAAGGACATCATGTTCTCCTCGAGGTCATACTGACCCAAGAAGTCTAGATGAGTTGCAGAAAAAAACTATTGTGCTCTCTGTAAAGACTTTTTAAAGGAGCATGCCAGGTTTGACATCATGGAATTCAAAACAAAATCTGACTCATATTAACTGTAATTAAAGTGTTATTTGTGTCAGCTAAGTACATAATGCCCTTAAAGATCATTATCCTGAGATATGTCAAGGTTGAACTGTCTCTATAGCAAAATCTGAGAGTGTATTTTAAAACTTATAAGATCCCACTGAAAATGCATTAAATCCTAGTATCCAACATATCCTGATTGTCAAATTCCACTTAAAATAAGTATTTATCAAAAAATATTATAGTCTATCCAGCAGGAATGTTATGCTCTGGTTGTATTTGACAGCTACATGTAGGACGGTCATACAGCCTGCAGAGAACAGTCTTAGTTTAGAGTGTTCTTCTAAGGGTGGATTTAAATAAACTTCCCAAGAAAGCTGGTGTGGCTTCAGCAGTCACTCTGCAGCAGGGTGACATTAGCGAGTGCTGTGCACCCCATAGGATTTGGTCCTTTTTCTCTGTGGTGCCTGCACGATGGAACCCATTGTTGGGCAGTGGAGGGGGCAGGTTACCTGTGAAAGCAGGGACAGCAGCAGTTGCTGTTCCTAAGGGCATGCTGTGAGTCATTCTGCTGTATTATTCATGTAGCAGGTACAGTCTTTGGTACCTGAGGGCATGGCTGGGGACAACCAAGGTTCAGAGGTAGGCAGGGTTTGTTTTGTGGCTTGAGGATTGCCTTGGTTGCTGGATATGTGCACTGCCTGGATGAGTTCCTGCCAGTGCTCCCATTGTGCTCAGCATTTCACTGACCATTGCATCATACCTGTGGGTACTCAAGGGTGTGTTTGAGCCATTCTTGTCTTGACTTTTGCAGGTGTGAATAGCCCCTAACATGGTTCCCATTGTTACCTGGCTTGGTTTTATAAACAAAGGTATTATTTAGTTCTAAATAAAACCTGGTTCTTCAGGTTCATCTGTAATCCTGAGCTCATGTCAATCAAAGCTGAGATCAATTTATATCACAATTCTGAGCGCATTCCTAGCACACTTTTCTTTATTTTCCTCCAAGAAATGCCATGAAATTTTCTGTAACTAATTTTAAAGCAATAATTGCATTGCTAGATGGTGTTCAAATGTTCTTGAAAAGCTTGGGAAGAGAGACCAATTCCTGCAGCAGTATAAGAACATTGGCCAGGGCTTTTTATTGAAAAACACAAAGTGTATTCTTGGGCTGGACTGTCACAGGTTCATTTGTTTCATGATGGAATGTGGCATTTGAGAATGGAGACCAGTGCTGCAAAAACTAAGAGAGGGGAGGCTCAGGCTGGACATGAGGTAAAAATTCTTTATAATGAGGGTGCTAAAATACTGGCATAAGCTGCCCAGAGAACTGGTGGATGCACCATCCCTGGCTGGATGTGGGTCTGGGCAACCTGATAGTGTTGAAGATGTCTCTGCTTACTGCCGGGGGTTGGAAAAGACCACTGAAGGTCCCTTCCAACCCAAACCATTCTATGATTCTATGAACGTATAGGTGGCTGTATGTTCTTATAATACTCTTGGCACTCAAATTTTTCAGTGCCAACTTAAATAATGCATAGTCTCTTTCCTATTTTCTTTAAAAATCCTGGTTAAGCATTGCAAGAATTGTAACAACTTAAAGAATTGAAATTGTATTTGAAAAGATGGCTAATGTGGTTTTAATATCTTTTCATGTAACTAAATAGTTACCTGCAGATAGTGACAAGTGTTCAGAAATGCAAACCAGACTGAGGCAAACAAAGCAGCATTGTGGAATTTGAGGTAATAGAATGACATTTGGCATGAATGAGCTATTTCTAGAAAAAGCAATTATTCAACCTCTCTTTTTCTAATAAGTTTTTATTAAACTTATGGAGAAAATCTTTGCACAGTATATAATCATTCTCAGAGGAGATTATATCACAAGTGTATTTAATAATGTTTATTGTTGCATTATGCATTTGGAGGACAGATGGTAGTTTGTAATGAGTTTCCACAACACCTAGTGCGGCAAGACAGGGCAGGTTTGCGATGATGAAGTAAATGAAGATGAAAGACATTATTAAAGAAAAAATTACTTGATCAGTGAGTATATGATCCTTTGTACCACAGTTAATTATGTTCATGATCACTTCCTTACATGTTTTATAGAGGGATGTGGCGGGGAGGAGGAACAGTTACATTTTCTCTTCCAAAATGTATTTTGAGTGGGTAATCATACTACCTCTCGTCACTGTCAAACTGCTG